AGCGGTAGATTCGATGGCTTATTACGCTAAAAACCGTGTTTCGATACCCGTGATAGCCCCACCACAGATGTCTTATTGTGTAGCTTTGCGCTTAACAACAAAACAAACTTTTTTCGCCCACCCCCCTGTAGTTCAGCGGTAGATTCGATGGCTTATTACGCTAAAAACCGTGTTTCGATACCCGTGATAGCCCCACCACAGATGTCTTATTGTGTAGCTTTGCGCTTAACAACAAAACAAAGGAATTTTCTTTTTTTAGCTAGGAACATCAGCCACGTTACTAACTTCACACAATCGTTCACGTTATTACTTATTTTATTATTATACTCAAATTGAAATGACATTTTTTAACATTTAGTACAATATGTCAGCTTTCTTCTGGTACGAAATAGCCAACTTTGTATAAGTATAGTTATTGAGAATATCTACTCAATGTCACTTATTGTCTCTTCTGCACAAAAGATGTTAAAATACTTAAAAATTATAGCAAACATTCTAACCAAGGGCTTAGGAACGTGCAAATAGTTACTGTAAATACTCTTTTAAGTTTATTTATTTATTTATTGTATATTGACTTGTTTTTATTGCACAGTTTTTGTCATATTTTCTTTATAAATTCGAAGATTCATTGCTCAGTTTTATTTAACCTAACTCCTTACTTCTGTTATTCAAGTTTATTTAACCTAACTCCTTACTTCTGTTATTCAAGTTTATTTATCCTAACTCCTTACTTCTGTTATTCAAGTTTACTTAACCTAACTCCTTATTTCTGTTTTTCAAGTTTACTTAACCTAACTCCTTATTTCTGTTATTCAAGTTTACTTAACCTAACTCCTTATTTCTGTTTTTCAAGTTTACTTAACCTAACTCCTTACTTCTGTTGGTCCAGTTTATTTATCCTAACTCCTTACTTCTGTTGATCCAGCTTACTTAACCTAACATCTTACTTTTGTTTTTATATTCATCATTTACAACTGTTTGTCTCCCACAGAAGGAAACTTACCTTTGCACAGCTTTCAAGATGCCCGCTCGTGAGCACCAGTATATAGGTATGCATTTTGGGGGCCATTTTAAGTATATCTAAGTCATTGCTTCTGGTTATCATGTTGTTTTTTTTTCTGTTTCTATTGTTGTTTTACTATTCTTTAGTTTATTGATGACATTGATACCTGTGTGTTTCCATTACATCTTGTATCTTACAGAAAATGTTTCAACTATGATGCGGTAATATTTATAGTTTTATGCAACGAATTTAAATAAAAAAGACCCTAAACTCGAGCGATTTCGAATAGTATATTATTATTATTTAGAAGAATAGTCAACTATTCGAAAGCTCTAGAGTTTTGGGTCTATTTTTCTAATTCATTACACCTTTTGTGTGTTAATTCTTTTATCATAATATAGTTTTATGCTTGGGAACTCTTATTGTTTTTCCGACGGTTAATCATTGATAATTCATTTTAACAACAGATGTAATTTTTTCTCACGGATCCAAATGATAACGTAATCAATACGATAAAAATCTAAGGCATTAGAAGTATTGTTTTACATGTGATATATAATAACTGCAACGAATTTAATACAAGAAAAGAATAACGCTTACAAATTTAATTAGAAGAAACCGAATATCCTTAGTTATAATTCAGACAGTGGCTCGCGAAGTCTCGTTCACTGACGGTGTAGTACGAAAACTTGAAATGCCAACAAGACCGTTGATATTTATGTGCATATTTTACTATACTTTATTATGAGTTGTGTAAAATTTAATTAAAAAATAACCAATAATTATTTGAAAAATAGCATAGTTTCTAACTGAAACTTAAATCAATAACAGTATAAAGGTCAAAGGTCGTTGAGGAGAACGAAGTATTTAGTTAAATAAAGATAAAACAGGACTGTACGTAAAATTAATAAAAAAAGAAAGACAATTATTTTTAAGTGACAGAATAATGGTAATGAAACAATTATTCAATGAGAAAGGTTGGTATTAAAAATGTGCTATTATTTCTATTTCAGTAAATATATATAACGAATCTTTTCTTTTTTTTTTTGGTAGACCAGAAACGCCACCTATAAACATTAAATTGAAACTGCTGTTTTATAATGACTTGTTACAAGTACGGTATTGCTCAAATACCCATATTTTTGCTATACATTTGTATCCTATATATTTTTTATCTATAAACTTTGTAAATTAAACTAGTATAATATCTTTTTAATTCTAAAATGTTATTTGGCTCCAGAAAACGTAACAATATTTATATTTATATATCTTTAGTGGAATTTGAGCCCAACGCCACAATGCACACTGCTCATCATATCTTGATATACGGCTGCACTACGCCAGGGTTTTGGGCGATGGACGATCCTCGAGCTGTGTGGGACTGTGGGGAAATGGCAGGAGGAAAGTCAGAATATCGACGGGCACCCACATGTGCTAGTGGGTCTCAGGTGATATACGCTTGGGCAAGAGATGCTCCCAAACTCACGCTTCCAGAAGGTAAATCCAGTACTTTAGGCCTAAAAGGGTTTTACGGTTTTCTACTCATCAGTGCAAAGTTCACAATATATTAGGCCACAATTTTATTAACTTCGCACCTGTAAAAATTTGTTGTCAAGTTTTACGAAGTCCACGAACTTTTGGTAATTTCTACAATTAATTTCCACCTAGAAAAATTTATATTTCGTACTGAAGGGATTTACAAATTTGATAACAAAGTCAGAGAAAAAAAAAACAACTTTTACACTTCAGATAATTTTAAGAGAACTTTTTATTTTAACCGATGTCAGAATTATCTGGAGTTTAAAAGTAGTTTTCTTTAACGTTATTGTCAAACTTGCAATATTAAATTGCTAATTTTTCCTAAGGTTGCAGATTTTATAAGATAAAATACAGAATATGGTAACAATTTAAGAAATATATCAACCGTACATCTTTGATACGTACTTTGTAAAACAGATAGACGACAACCATATTTTTCGGAATACAAGACGCACCCTTATTTTGAAGACAAAGTTTTGGGGAAAAAAAGCTACA